GCAGGTATCTTTGCTGTTTTGAGTAGTTTCTACATATTGTCCATATATTTAATATGAAAACAATGTATTTCAAGTGTCTAGAACTGCCTGACACATAACAGATACCCATTGACTATTTACTGAATAAATGAATCAATTCAGAATGAGAAGATTCTCTCTGAGTCTGAAGGAAGAACCATTACTACGTGAACAACCCAATCACTTTTGTGGTGCAAAGTGGATGCAAGTTTTTTAAAACACAAGGCTTTAGTGTTACTTAGGTGAATTAGTGACTGCAAAAGGGTGCACAAAGTAAAACAGTGGAGCGGTGAGACCAGCTGCCTGGGCAGCAGGCCCAGCTCTGCCCATTAGGAGCCGTGTGCTCACGGACCTCTGGGTGCATAATGTGAACTACAGCATAAAGTTAATAACAGCACCTTCCTCTGAGGGTTTTTATGAGGATTAAGTCAATAGGCAAAAAGCACTTAGAGAGGAGCCTGATACATCCTACTAAGTAACACACACACACGCTGTGTTTATTCCTGTTTTTCTGGATCCCTTGACTTTGCTGAAATTGTATGCAATTGTTAGTTAAGAGTGCAGAATTCCTTTAGCAATATGGACCAGGCAGGCTAACTCCCTGAGTAATCACCCAAATGGCTTTACTCCTGCAGAGCCCCAAAGGGTCAGAACCCCAATGACTTGCAAGTGTTTGCAGTTACTACCCTTTCTGCAGAAGTCGGCACTGTGGAGCTGAATGCATCCATCAAGTTATAATCTTGGCACTGTTTTAATTTAAGTTAAAATATGGCCAAGGATTCCCAAAGAAATTCTCACGGAACAGGTAAATGTGGGTCAAATATTTACTCTGCATGAGGTAAGATGTTCTCCCAGCCCCAATATACACCATCACTGCCCCAGGCAGCGGCTCCCGTATGTTCTGGGATTGAGTCCCTATTGCAGGAACCAAAATTGTGTGTGTGTTGTTAAATTCCATTGTTGTTTTCTGGCTGTTTCTCAGGTAATAATCCCATGCAGACAGGGACCATGTCCTCCAGAATGATCTGTTCTCCTCCTCGCCCTCTGCAGTCACTAAGTGGGGAGGTCCTTATCCCAGCCAGACTCGTCCCACCCAACATTCCTACACAGGAAACAGTGCTTATCATCAGGATTGCCCTAACGGAATCGGAGGGACAGAACACAGCATCGTAACAGGCCCCCAGGCAGTGAGTGGTGGGGTGGGGACGCCCAGGTACTAATTCCAGAGCAGGGGGCCTTGGTCTGGTTTAGCCCCAATGGCCATCAGCAGTCCCCAGACCTACGGTAGTCCACTTCTGCAAGAATACTCAGCTTATTCTAAAAGAAATCAGCTTTATATGCCTCTACTTTATAAAGCTTATATAAGGCCATAAAAACAAAAAGATGTGCACCCCAGCATAAACTGGGAACTCTCTAAAAAACTTCATTGTTTAAATACCTTTTGACAGGCCCATAAAATGATGATATAGATTGATATTTATTGAAAAGAAAAAGTGTTCACTACATGGTAAATTTTGTTAAAATTGTGAAAATGTGGCTATTGTGCAATACTACTTTATAAAGATGAAATAAAACTCTTTCCCTCTCTCTCTCTCTCTATATATATATGTATATATATATATATATGTATGTATGTATGTATATATTTACCTTGGTTTAAATAGTAATTATATGTATGTAGTACTTTATTAATTATTTCAGTGGCGGCTTATTCACAGTACAGTTTTGCAATGAATATGTAACACTTCCAAATAAAGAAAAAAATTGTTAAAAATAATCAAAACCACAAAACTTCCAAAGATAGAAAGCTGGGATAAAGGAATCAGTTTCTGATAGAGGAATTTGAAGACAGAAAACCTGTGCTTTATGAGGGGATTGTCTTCTCGGACTCCCTGCTATCATATTGCACCTCCCTCCCTTCCCCATTCACACAGTCAGGGCCCAGGTGGCGTCGTGGTGAGACACATGGCTGCCATGTCCCGGCCTAGAGTCCTAGGGGTCGCCTTGGAGGTCACACTGGCCTCTGTGTGCAGCAGCCCCCTGATGCTCAGACTCCTAAGAGGTAACACCCTATAAAAAATACACATAAAAGAGAGAAAAGTGATTCATTGGGAGGACACTCAATACGGACACTGAGAAGGAAGGAACAGCCTGTGCCCAAAAGCAAGTGAGAATGCCTGGAAAAGCCATTGCACTTGGTGTGCGAGGCTGGCCTGGATGTGTTATAGGCGTTATGGAAGGAAGAACTCTGAGGGCATGTGCCAGCTTTAATTAATAGCCAACCGTTCCATATTGGAGATGGTTTTTCCTCCATTAGTGGAATTTTCCTTTAACTCGCTGACCATATTTTATGTCCAATAAGTTATAAATTGAGCTGAAAAGGCAAGACCGCAATGGGGTGATCAAGAAAGGAAGGCCAAATGGAAGGGCCGAGGGCACAGTTTAGTATACCATTACATCCCTGGTATGATCAATTACCAAAGTGCAGTAACAAACATAAGACACAGAGGTAACCTTTGACATTCAGAATTCAAGAAAAGTAGGGCCTTCTTGGCCCTTATTTAACTGCTTCATCTGAGGAGCACAAACCCGACCATTAGGAGGCAACACCCTTGACTTCCTTTCCAAAGAATCTTTCCAGGGCCCTAAATTCAAACAGCTGGAATTACCATCCAAGAACCGTCCACGCAGCCTTTGAAAATGCAAGATCTGCCTCCTGATGTGAAATGTGCATTTTGTCTCAAGACGGACACAGTGTTCCGGGCCTCATTTATTCTCCATATAAACAGCCTTTTTTGAGGATAAGGTGTTTAGCATTTTCTACTGACGGGTTACAGCAAATTCATTTCTGTCATGAAAGGTTCCAAGTGTGCAGAGGAGGCTGAGAAGCATAAAATCCTTATTTAAAAAACTTTGGCTTCCAAAGTTCTAAATTCCAAATAACAAGGTGGTGTGAAAACCTCTCTAAATTCCACTTTAAACATCCTAAGTTCATGAGAAAAGACTCAGTCATGGCTAAATGTTCAAACAGATAACTGTATGAAAATAAACTTAAGAATTTTTTAAAGTTAATTCTCAAAATAAGTCTCTAAATTAGAAGACAAAATATCTGAATAAAATAACATTAATCATTAAAAAAAAAAAGACTCAGTCAAGGGAAGAGGAAGAGTTAAGATAAATGACAGCAACAAAAACTCAGTGGCTCAATGAGCAGAGGGGAGAAAGCCAGCACGTGTTTGCACAGAGAACCAACGCGTGCACCATTTCCTAAATTCTGCTGCCACTGGAGAAAGTGACATGGAACCCAGTTCCTAGAATATATAACAACTACAGGTAGTTTAAGAGGAGAAAATCTGCATGGTGAAACCCTAACTCTCAGGCATCCATGTCTTCATAGCTCTCGAGATTCCAAACTGGGTCCCAAATAAAAGATATTAAGCACACACATGCTGGCATACAGAGATACCCAGCATATATCTCTATTTCCTAAACCAGTTAAATACGTCCTGGCTTTGAGCCACCAATCTGGCAGAAAATCTGGCCTGAGCTGGGCTTTAGGAATTCCACTCCCTGGGTTCTCGCAGGAACTCCCGGGCCTGAGTATCCAGAGAACCAGAGTAAGGGCCTGTGGCTGTGGGGATCCGGCCTGTGACCCACGGGGTCCTCAGCAAGGTGGGTTGCACACTCCTTCCTGGCATGAAGAGCCAAGCCAAGGCTTCTGGGTTGGGCTGGCTACTGCCCAGGAGCCCACAACTCAGGTGAGTCACGCAAGATATTGTGGATCTGCAGGGCACAGTTCTGCCCCCTGATGGAAAACCCCAAAGGCCTAAACTCAAGCTCTCCACCCCTGTCCAGGTTGTACCATTCCTCTCTGTCCCAGCCACAGCCTCCTTCCCTCCACTGCTGTCGGGGGAGTACAGGGGCAATTTCAGCCTCATAACCACCTTCCCCCAACTAGAGGGCTAACAAGACTCTAACCCAGATACTACAAACCAGATGCCTGAAGGTAAAACTCTGAGTTCTTTTGTCCCCACTCTGTATATTTTTGTGTCTAGCTAATACTTAAAACATCTAGAATTTTCATGTAAAAACCCAGCTTCTTACCTTCCACTAAATCAAGTGCTCTGGCAATAGCAGGCCCACATTCGCACATGTCAAAACTGGTTGGAGCTGACTAATGGCTTTTGATGGGACGTGTGTTTCCTGCCTTGCCACAGTCTCCACTACTCCCTATTGTTGCACAAAGGCCACTTCACAAACTTACATTCCCATTCTGTGAGAATCGGAGTGTGCAATCTTTGATCTAGGCCTTAGGACAGAAGTGTTTGGTTGCCTTTCTGGGACTAGGAAAAGGAACATTTACTTATTCCTATCTAGGAGCAGGAGAAGGAATTCTTTCAAATTTCCCAAAGAAGAAGGCAAAACATAATGTTTGAATAGCTTATCCTAACACTCACATACAAATATAAGTCCTTTGATGGCAAAGCACAGGAGAGGCTGAACATCAGCAACCACAACCTTTCCAGTCACACCTGACATGCAACTCATTCATCCACGTGTTAAAGAAAAAAATCACTTGATACTTGTTCAAATATTAAGGCAGGCTTTAGTCGGGACAATAGGTAGGGGAACCATGGCAGGAGGGGGTTGCAGTAGGGTGGAGACTGGGTTCCACTCCAGATACAATAAGGAAAAGGGAATTTATAGTCAAGGAGCAGAATGGGGGTAGGTCAGTCGGAAATTACTAAGAGGAAACATCAGGGGTGGGGGGCTGCCTGCTAAACGGACCTAACAGGAGTCTGGCTAAAGGCAGGCCCAGGAGACCAGCCACCAATCACCTGCTGGCTGGGAGAATGAGGAATTTGGTCAGATATCCAGGGTGATCAGATATACCCAAAGACCAGGCCTAGTTGAAAGAGTGCTCAGAGAAGCCTGACTACAGTGTGGTCAGGGTAAGAATCTTTGTCACACACTTACCCTCCACATAGACGGCTCTCTCCCCGGAAGGCCAGGACTGTCACTGACTGGCAACATCTATAAAATGCCAACCTTTTCTCCTGCAGTTCAAGGAGCTATGACTGAAAAGAAGGGAGAATGTGAAAATTCCCAAAACAGGAGGGAGCAGGCTTTGCAAAAGGCAACCCTGGGAGCAGAAGTGACCAGAAGGGTTCATCTCACCATGGGAAGGAGAGGGCCAGCCTCCAGCTGACAGGGGCAGGGGCCCAGCACTACCACTTCCACAGTGGGCACACAGCCCACACAGGTGTTACATCATAGCTGAAGGTAAGAGGTTGTATCACACATCACCTGAAAATATTAGAATGCATACAGTTAAAAGGTTTCAGGTAACCATCCAATATCCATCTCATTACTTTCACCAGAACAGCACAGTCCTAGGTTAGGGAGTGAGTTTTCCAATGTATCTGGATTTAAAGGAAGACTTGAAATGGAAACAGCCTCCCTCCCTGGGTACCGAGGCCACCAGATGTATACCCAGCAAGGGAGCTCCCCCAAGTGCCTACACACAGTGAGCACTGTGCCTGACCATACCCAGCGTTGTTCCTGTTATTGGGCAGTGTGGAAGAAGCGTGTCACTCACTGTAGTAACCGGCGCTCTGCGCTGCTTCTCAGACTTCATGTGTCCACTGAAGACCTTTTCTATAAATGCGCCATGTAAGCAGCATTTGTGCCTTTGAAACATCTTTCACATTTACAAATCTAATCTCCCAGAACCTCGAGCTGAAGTGTGTTAGTCTTTAGAAGGCAGACATCCTTGACAAAATGCACCCACATAGATTGACAGCCACCCACCTGCTAGAGCCCCACCGAGGCTAGCAGCTTCCTGGTACAACTGCCCCCCTTCTAAACTGCAGGCTGCAGTTTGGGCACAAGCATTCTACAGACCACGATGCATAACAAAGCCAGGGGAAGGAGAAACAGGACTTTTTTTTTTACCACCCCTCCGTACCCCACCGGGTCACCTGAATTTATTAGGGTAGAGGTATGCTCAGGTTTTTCCTGAGGGGTTAATTATGCAAGAAACGCCATAATCAGAAGTCCCAATAGTGCTAAATGACCAGAGAAGAACCTTTCTTTCTAAAGTCCTTGTAGCCCCTTCTCCACAGAGCTAGGAAGATTCAGGAGACAAAGAGGTAAAGAAAAACCTAAGGCAAAAACAAGAAGGTGGAAAACCTTATGGGAATGTTCTGGAATCTAAACTAAGTCCTGATTGACCAAATACTTTGAATGTAAATCCTAAAATCAATCTTTGCTTTTTTCATTGAAAAGTCTACAGCCAAAGATTTTACAGAACAAGAGTAAAAAAGAATTGAAAATGTAAATTCAAAATACTGCACACCTAACTGAAGCAATCAAAACCTGGGAGAAGGGAAGGTAACTCAAATAGGCTTTCCTCACTCTTTTCTTCAACGTTTGCTGATGTCTGCTTAAAACCTAGCCAGAGAAAGGATTAAGCACAAAGGAGGGAGCGTTGCTCTGGGATCAGCTGTCTTGAGAAGGGGCCGGGGGCGGGAGTGTGGGGCTCAGGCCAGGGGTACCGCTGCCCCGCCTGGTTACCACCTCTCAGGACCCACCCTTTTCTATCGGCGAAGCCGCTGCCCAGTCCAACGTCCTTAGGAAGGTCAATTATGGTGGGGTTGTTGCAAAAGCCCCCAGCTTTCCCGGGTTCTGTTGCTGCTGAGTCTTTTTAGATGTTAATTTATGATTCACTCAAAGGCTTTCAAAAGAAAGAGGCTTTTAGGTAATGAAAGAAATGGATTTTAAAGCCCTGGCAAGCTGATTCAGATCAGTCTCTGGAAAGGTACAAAAGCCAGCTATGCGGCAGAACTGGTTTGGCCTGGACCTGAAACCACGCACAAGAGAAATGTTTGCAATATCGGGAGGCGTCACTTCCAGGAGGACCTTGGTAAGGGGCCCATTTCCCAGCACGGCTCATTTATCGCGGGGGATTTCTTCCCTGTACACATATCAGTATCATAGGAGACTGGAAAGAATAGCCAAATGAAAACACCTACACTTAAACATTTAAGATGCCTATCAAAGCAGTGAAAGCTGCCTATGATTGAATTCAACATACTAAGTTTCAGTGAAGAACTTTTTCACCAGTCTTGCCCGAGACTCAGGATTTTGGGTGACTTATATTTTACTGTGGAATTTTCTTTCCATTTGCAAGATTTAAGTGTTCAACAAGTCTTTGCTGGTGGAAGGACTAACAGAAGCACTGATGAGTCACACTAGCATCTGCACACGAAACTGCTGGGCTGGAGCAGGAGAAAGAGGTCTGCCCCAGAGAGAGGGTGGGGGCACCACTATGTCTCCGCCGGTCACCCCACCCATCAGGTGCTACAAAGAGAGGGAGGGGCCTGAGTGGCTTTTCTTTCTTCCTTTTTTGTGTTTAATGAAATATTTCAAACATAAAGGCACACAAACTAATACTTTCAGTCATCGCGACCCAGTTTAACAAATAAAGCATTTCCAAAATGCTTCCCAGAATAACCCAATCCTAACCTAACTTCCTCTCTTCCTTTAAGAAGCAAATTCTATCTTGAATGGAGGGTCCTCACTTCCAGGGACTTCTTATGCTAAATCTGTACATATTACTAAACACTATGTAGGGATTATTTTGTGCATTTTAAAGCTTCCCATGAATGTGATATACTTCAGGGCTGTCCAAAGGTGTGGTGTCCTGGGCAAATATTTTTTGCAGAGTCTCTATCTAAACAATTTGAGTTGCTGAAAATAGTATGTCAGCACCACGCTGGCAGCCCAGTCTTACTCTCTACCACAGAGGAGAACCCGCACCAGCTGGCAGGAGCAATGCGCTGACAGATTGTTTCCTGCTGTCAAGGCCTGGCACATGAAGCTCTCAGGGCTTCTGGTCAAGCCAATCTGTCCTGCAGGAGACCCAGGGGTCAGGTCCATGGGGTTCTTTATCCAAGCTCAGAGCACCCTGTCCGGAGAGCAGCCGGCCCAGTTGGTCCCAGGCACCGAAGGAGGATGTAAGATGCTCCGAAGTGCGGGGACTCCCAGACAGGGAGACCTAGACAGGGGCACCCAGACAGGGGGCCTCCCAGACAGAGGACCCACACAGGGGCCCTGCCCGCCCACGTCCAGGACTGGTACTGGTGTACTGAGTGTGTACTTCTGTCATTCATGTTTTTGACTCAGCCTGGTGAGATCCATCCATGTTGACTACCGTTAACTCTAGCTTGTTATTTCCATTGCTATTTAGTATTCCATTATGTGAATAGACTATTCACCCATTCTCATGATGGACATTTCATTTGTTTCCAGTGTCTCACTATGAAAGGATGATACTTCAGATACTCATGTACATGTCTCCTTGTCACATGCAAGGGTTTGTCTAGGGTACATACCCAAAAGAATTACTGGATCTTATTATATGTGTATTTTCAATTTTGTTAGGTATTTTCAAATTATTCTACCAAGTAGCTACCAAATTACACTCTTAATGGTGTAAATTGCTTCTTTTCCACACCAATAGTTGGTATCATCAGATTTTGAATTTTCGCCAGTCCGAAGGGCATGAGATATGTCAGTGTGGTGTTCGTGTTCATTTTCCTGATTACTAAGAACTTTTCTGTTAATTTACATTTTGTTTTCTCCTTCAGTGAATCGCCTGTCTTTTCTAGTGGGTTGTCTTTTCTATTAAGATTAGTTCTTCATATAGTTTGTGTATTAACTTTCTCTAAGCTGCTATTAATATTTGTGGGTAAAATACATTTCTTGACCTTCTTCTGACCTGAAATAAGTATTTTAAAAGGCATTTGTTACATTTAACCCAGCATCTCTAGGTCTTTTGCACTGGGGTTGTTTTCACTCTGTTGTTTGTCTGTTCTGGTGCTGGAAGGAGATGCCCAGCCTGGGTATAGCATGATGTGTCTTCAGAGAAGGGCACAGGGCACTAGTTTTTGCTGGTGAAGCTCTAGCAGACCAAGCATGGCTCTAAGGGTCAACACTGTGGCAGCACTTGCCCAGTATCTAGAGTGAAGTTGATGGGAGCAAGAGTAGCCACTCTGAAGGCGCCGATGCTGTGATGCTGTTCTCAGCAGTCGTTCCTAGAAACCCAGCAGAGGTCCTGCTGTTCCGGGCCTTCCAGTGATTTTGCAAGAAGCTAATTTCCTTTGTCAAAGTTAATTTCTCCTTAAAATAGGAAGAGTAGTTTCTGTTAGCTACCGAACTCTCCAACACAGACATTAAGAGTCTAAGACAAACGTAGGAGAGTTTAACCATATGTGTAACTGAAGAAATGCAAATTAAAACAAGGTATGTTTTAAAAATTTTAATATAGTTTACCTATTACATAGGCAAATATTCAAAATATAATGCTTGGTAATAGTAAAGATTTGAGGAAGCAGAGATTCATGGCTGCTGCTAATATAAAATTAGTACAACCCTTCTGGATAACAAAGCGTTAAAAATGTGTGAGACCTTTGACCAGTGATTCTACTTCTGAGAGTTTATCCTAAAGGAATAACTGAGGATGTGCATAAAGATTTAATTGCAAGAATGTTCAATGAATTATTGTCTGTAATTTTTTAAAAAGGAAATTACCTCATGTTGAACAATTGAGGGCTGGTCAAATAAATTATAGCACATACATAATATAAAACACTAACCAGCCTTTTAATAATCTGCAGTAGAGGAGCGCTAATAACAAGGGAAACTGTTACCAACATATTAAATGACACTTACAAACAATGTGCACAGGAGGATTCCATTTTTGATAAAATTTAAAGTTGATTTAAAAATTTCAAAATATTAACAAACAATATGAATGAATCTTTTAGACATTATTTTGAGCAAAAGAAGCCAGATACACAAAACTGGATGCTGAAAGAAGCCAAAATGGTGCTTACCTTTTCGGGGGCAGGGTAGGGGGAAAGGGCAGATTCAGTGAGAATGGATATTGACTGCGAAGGAACATGGAAAAACTTCCAGGATCCAGGAAATGGTTTACATGTTGAGCTGGGATGCAGTCGTGTAGGTGCTCACAAGCGTAAAATTTATTTAGCTGTGCACTTAAGATGAGTGTTCTTCATATACTTTATTGTCTGTCTGTTAAACCTCAATAAAAAAGTAAAATCTTTCTGCCAGTGTATGCCCTCCCTTGCCCCTCAACACCACCACCATCACACTGGAGCAGACGGGCAGCCACGTGTTGTCTGGAAGCGGTGTAACAAAGCAGTGATCTGAGTGGCAGCAGAGCTAACACCAGGGGCTCCAGCTTCTTCCAGTCCACATTCCTTCCTGAGCTGGGTCCAGGGCTGTACCAGCCGCCCTGCCCTTAGAGTCCAGGGAGAGCTTTCCTTAGAACAGCAATGGCCATCTTCAAACTGGGGCTGGACTTGGTCTCTGTCCCTATGCATGTAGGTGACCCCATCTTAAATCATCCCAGAGCAATAAAAAGGCAGGGAGCACGATAGGAGAGGTGGGGGATGAGGGTGAGGGGTGGGGAGCCCTTGCACTGAGAGGATCTAGTTCAAGGAATTCCTCTGCAGGGACAGCAGTTAAGTACCTTCCACTGTAAAGGTGATAAAGGACGGAAGGAGCATAAAAGACTTACAAGAAGTAAATGAAACTATGACAAGGTTATGGATGATTTTTATTTTTTTCTTATCTGTATTTTCTAACTTTTTTACAACAAATGTGTATTGCAGTAAGGAAAAAGAGGGTGTTTTGTTTGTGCTTACAGTACTTCAACTACACACCATAATAGGAAGTGCACAATTCTCATCAGTTCCAACAGGCCCTGCTCAATTTTGTTCTTAGGTCAATCCACCCTGGCCTTAGGTGACCATGGGTCAACCACCTGGTCTATGATCATCTTGGATAATTTATCACCTTAAGGATTGTGCAAGAAACAGGATTTTGTTGGAAGTCTCTTTTCTGGATAAGACATAATCAAGAAAAAATGTGCCCCGGTGCACATGCGAGCACAGTGTGCTGGATTCTCTCTTCCAATACATACAAGGTGGGTCCTGGGCATGGAGCTGCAGAGGGGTGGGTCACCTGAGACCACCATGGCCTCAACTTCCCCTGCTCCTCCTCCCTTTCAGTACTTGCTCCCAGGAAAAGACTGTGGATTCTTTCCCTCTAAGTTGAAAAGCACTTAAGATCAGAGCCTTCAGGAGGCTCAGAGTCTAAGGAAATATTCTCTCATTGTAGATTTCCGCAAAAACAACTGCTGCACAGGTGTTCTGATAGGATAGGAAGCCAGTGTAAACAGGTGTTCTAATGACAAGGTAGGAAGCCTGTGTAAGGCCTTCCTTTAACACCATTGGGCAAAGCTCCCACCTGCTCAGCCACTCTAGGATCCTGATTGAGCCCATTTCCCACCCCAGCCACTGCTCTCATTTCCCTCTTTCTGCTTGGAATGGCTCATGGTTATTGCCACAATTGAAAATCATGTCAACATTTATTCGAACCCATTATACACTGAGTTGGGTGACCAAGTGCTACTGAAAAGGAAGTTTGAGGTGGCCTGGGATGCTCAAGGGCCTCTCTGGGGGAGGTGGACTTACTAAATCCTGGAAAGATGCAAGTAGTCAGGACAGGCAGAGTCAGTTTGCAGGGGCTCAGAGGCAGGACAATGATGAAACCCATCTGGCTGGAGCAGAGAATCTAGGTGGAGCTCCTTCTCCCCAGAGGCTTGATAGAAGTTCAAGACACGTTTATTGATAGGATGGATGGGATGGTAGGATACAGAAGAATGAACTCATTAATTTGGATTTTATCTTATTAGTGATAATGAGCCAAATAAATGCTCTGA